ACGACAGCAACTTGTCTGTTCCCCTTTCCCCAATTCCCCAGCACTGTTCCCATCCCCCCAATTCCCCAATTAAAAAAAAAATCTTTAAAAACAAACAAACAAACAAAAAAAAAACAAGCAAAACAGAGCATTTTATTTGTAGGGCTTCTCAGGCCTGCAATATGCCCACGGACATGATAGCTCTCTAAGAGGGAACATGTGGGGGTAAGCATGCATTGATCACGTGCTGGGCATAGCTATATTAAATACATGTCTGGACTGTCAAACATGAAAATTAACAACAACAAACATGTCATTGGTGCTTTACAGATGACGTAGCTGCCAAATAGATTCTGGTTTTTCCTTATTAAGCTTAAGGGATTTCAAGCTTAATAATTCTCCAAGGAAGGTATAATTATTCCTTCTTACAGGAGATAGGGCCAGGACTCAGAGAGTGGAGATACTTGCCCATGGCCTTACAGTCAACAGACGGGGAAATGGGGACTGGAGCCCATGTTCGAGTCTCACTTGTGTTCTTAATGGGTGTCTGCTGCCCCCTGGGCACAGCCCTAAGCTTCTGAAATCACTGTCATGCCAGAGTCAAAGTACGTCCTCACACTCAGTGACACTAGCTCTTTTATACTTAAAGTTCTCTCGAGAGACTTTTCCTGCTGGATCCACATTTACGTGGGCAAGTGGAGGAGAGGGCTTGATGGAAGAATATTGGCTATCTGCAGCACAGTGAAGTTTCTTTTAATTACAAGTCTTAAGTAAAACTTGTTTCTCCTTTCTGAAAACGAGAAGTATATAAATGTGTTGTTTTATTTTTCCTTTGGTTGCCAGGAAGCTCAGATACAAAATCTTCATCTTGTCTGACAGTTTTGTGCCCTTTCCCTTGGTTCTATTATTATTTACTGTGTGTACCTTTATAAGGTTTATATATTGCCTCAAATGCTTGATGGATAAGACGGGATTTATACATACATATAGTTAGTAAGTGGAAGCTTTTCAAAACATTCACCCCTTTTAAAAAAAACCCCAGAATGCTTAAAGATGGTTTCATCTGGTTTTATTGCCTAATTGTATGGGAATGCCCATGTGTGGGTTGTAGTCAGGGGTGGTTACAATTGGGTGAAAGATAAGTGGCAATCTATATAGGGTAATTTAATATTTCTTAAAAAACAAACCGGGGGCCAGCCGAGTGGCGCGATGGTTAAGAACTGGCTTGGGATGCCAGAGGGCCCCGATTTGGATCCCACATATGAGGGCCAGTTACACTGCCCTCAAAAAAAAAAAAAAAAAAAAAAAACAAAAACCAAAAAAAACCAAACTGATATTTGTATAGTGTTTTGGGTTTACAAAGCCTTTGCATAAACATTATCTTATCTGATCTTGTCAACTGGCTTCTCTGAGAGCTAGAGCAGGTGTCATTAATTACTATTCTAATTTGATTGCTGAATTGACTTAGGTTCAAATATTTTAGAAAAAAACATTTCAAATTATTTTTTTTCAATTTTTTTATTTTTTCAATTACAGTCAACATTTAATATTATGTTAGTTTCAGGTGTACAGCAGAGTGGTTGGACATTTATATAACTTATGAAGTGATCCCCCAGGTAAGTCTAGTACTCACCTGGCATTAAGTTACCTATTTTTGCTATCTAATGTTACTGGCCCAAACTAACTAATGGACGAGTTTACAAGTAGACCTGGGTCTTCTGCCTTCAAGCGGGATGTTGGACCTGAGCACAAGTGGTAATTTGTGGCACGTGCAATTGACATATCCCTGCCCTGACCTACCCCCCGCCTCATACACACACTCCAGGGTCCAAGAGGTGGCAGTAGCATCCCTAATTAATCTAAACTCTCTTTCCCATTGAGCTTAACCATAGCTAGAGACCTCAACACAGTGCCCCAGACATACACCACTAGTGACATGACACAAGATACCCCAGGACTGGACATTTTTTAGAATTCTGTGAAACTCAAAAATTTCCAATTGTACGGCTGTATACTAGATTAGAAACCTGAGATCATCAGACATGATGCATTTTATCTGTAGCATCTGTGTGGCAATTTAAAAAGCAGCAATGTATGAGAAGTCCTCACTTAACATTGTTGATAGGTTCTTAGAAACTTCAAGTGAAAAGGCATATAAGGAAACCAATTTTATCATAAGCTACTTGCTATAGACCAGCGGTTCTCAACCTTCCTAATGCCGCGACCCCTTAATACAGTTCCTCATGTTGTGGTGACCCCCAACCATAAAATTATTTTCATTGATACTCTATAAGTGTAATTTTGCTACTGTTATGAACCATAATGTAAATATCGTTTTGTTTTCCGATGGTCTTAGGCGACCCCTGTGAAAATGTCGTTCGACCCCCAAAGGGGTCGCGACCCACAGGTTGAGAACCGCTGCTCTAGACAAAGAGTCAACTTCCTATTGCATACTTCTGGTCACACAAACATCAGCCATCTCTAATAAAGACCCAAAATACTTCTAATATTCAACAGTGAAATAAATGTGAGCTATCCATGCATTTAAGACATAATAAAAACAAGGAAGAGAATTATTTTCCAACCCACTTATTCCAATTTAGGGTGGCCCGTGGTCAGAGCCTCTTGCAGTGGCTCAGGACACAAGGTGGGACCCATCCCAGACAGGGAGCCACTCACACGAACACACATTGGCTTAGACTGGGGCAGTTAGATGCGCCGATTCATTTTACATGGGCATCTTTGGGATGTGAGGGGGGGGGACTGAAGTCCCCCGCAGAAAACCCATGTAGACATGGGAAGAATGTGTAAATTCCACACTACGGCCCCAGCAGGAATTAATTTTTCTCAGCCATATAATAATGAGGCAATGTTATTCAAAGACCTGCTGGATTAGCTTGCTCAGGCTGCCATCACAAAATGCCATAGACTGGGCAGCTTCAATAACAGAAATGTGTCACTCACAGTTCTGGAGGCGCTAAGTTCAAGCTCAAGGTGCTGCCAGACAATTGTTTCTGGTGAGAGCCCTCTTCCTGGCTTGCAGCCAGGTCACATTTTCATTGTCTTCATGTGGCCTTTCCTCAGTGTGTGCATGTGGGGGTGGGCGGGGGTGGGGGATGCATGAGAGGGTGTTGGGGGATAAGGGAGAGGGGGAGAGTGAGAGGGAGAACAAGAGCAAGCTCTTTTTCTTTTTATAACAGCACAGCCCTTTTGGATTAGGATCCCACCTTTATGACCTCATTTGACCTTAATTCCTTTCTCAAAGCCCTATCTCCAAATACAGCAACATTGGGAGTTAGGACTTCAACATATGAGTTTTGTCGGGGGGGGGGGACAAAATTTGGGTCATAGTAAGCAGATATGTCATTTAAGGGTAATTTTTATCCTCAAGGTTCATTCCAGTTTGGATGGGGCTAACTTTTAAGTCAGCTGTTACTAATGGGCTAAAAATAGCACACACAAAACACCTAGAGCAAATTACGTTACCTTAAAAAATCTGGTTGCTTCCACCATACTGCACTGAATTCCCTGATATTTGGAATTCCACACTCAGAATAATTGCAAATCTTGTGCTAGGTCCAGGATTTTAACATTAGCCAACATTACAGAATAACAGAATTAGATAGCTAGGAAGAGGAAAAAAATGTCTTCTTTTTGCTTTTGAGAAAGGTTCAAGCCAAACCCAATTCTCTGTCTTCATGGACACAGGGTTTTTTATTTAAAAAAGCATTCCTTTCTTCAAAGTCTTGCCTTTTATCTGGTTTGCGGTATAAATTGAGAGCAATTAAAATCAATGACTTTCTCATTGTATGGTATTGTTTATCATCAATTTGCTTTCTTTGGTATCTGGTCATAGATGATGTAAAATCTCTCTGTCGTCATCACGGATGTATAAAATGGTGAAATCATAGCCTAGTATTCTTCCTCTAAGGATTGTTTGTTATTTAAGGCCATGCTTGTATTCTTTTAGATTCCATTTCCTTAATTTCATGTGCATGTGCTAGAAAATGGCTAAATGATAAAGGGATCTTCTTTGGACCATTGATTGGAGATATCGCTGTTTTCATTCTCTCTCTTTCAAGCTTAAGGGATCCTGAGCCTTGCACGATAAAGCCACAAATGGAACTAAATTATGCTGAGCAAAAATAAATTCTTTTACTGAGAATTTCCCAGGAGTTTTGATATTTTTGACTCTTGCTCACTAAATATGGAAAAGATTGAGACACCAGGAGAAGCAGGGGAGCTGTTCTGCTTTTTTTAGTCCTTCTTTTAAGAAATCGTTTCATCCCTTTAATGCTATATTCGCAATGTATCAGAAATCACCTCGCTGTAGAAGTCACAGCCCTCTGTATGGTAACAGTTTTTGGAGATGTTCTCTAAGCTTCTATTTTTATATAAAGAATAAGGCCCTGTGAATTGTAAGTTATATATTCTAGTGGTCTGAGTCTTGCCCAACATATAGAAATGGTGGAAATGGACATTTCCCAGTAGCTGTCATCTTGAAGGAATCAAACTCCTTTAGACTTAACCTCCTTTGTCTCCTATTCAACACAGGCTCACAGTATTATTGAAATA